CAGAGATAGACGTCCACACTTTGCTCAGATAACGTAGATTTAATCAAGGAGAGAACACATGTAGGGGAAGGCCTGATATCTGCAAGCATGGGAATCAGAGATTAGGCGCTTTGCTTAGTGAAGCGGCAGTGTATGTGTTTCTATGACCTTGAGAAATAGCGCCTGGAGTGAAATGCACACTGGGACTGGAACCGAATGAAATCGGTCAATCCGAAAGATAAGGAAAGGATCTACGAGACAATGAGGGGATCCGGATTAAAGGCCCGAATCGGATCAGCCGATATAAAGAGGGGGCACACATTTTGACGAGTGGAATGTAAACAAGTGAGAAGTTGTGTTAGGGCGGCAGTGGGATAAGAGGGCAAAGAGTAGATAGATAGGCCAGGACAGAAAGAGGAGTGATAGTGTAACCGTTTTCGGCACAACGTATGTCGAGGGATTTACTTCACTTGTCACTTTGACGAGTTCGTAGCTTGGTGCGGAGAATGGCAAAACTCACTGGTGATACCGGCGAAACGTTTGAGAATGTACCAGGTCGATTGTCTGATGCTGGGAATCATGACATCTATTATGAGACGATTTCGGACTAGGTGCTTTATATTAAGTCGCCCTGACAACAAGAACAAGTTGCGACAAAGAGGTCAACCAACTTCTTAATAATAAAGTTGTCAGACTGATCAATTTTCCTAGGATTTATGGTAAACCTTGATCTGTTAAAGCAATACCAAGCCCAACTTTAGGAGGGTATACACCTGCCAATGATACGAAATGTGTTATATGCGGGTGCTCATAGAGAGATGAATGGGTAGGTCCAGAATAAGGAATATATAGTCAGTCAGGCATGACAAAAAAGGGAAGCCATATTTGTTAGACGTTTAGAGAATAGTAGAAGATAGTTTGAAGACCTACGGTTTTAATGATGAAAATAAAACACACATTCACAAATCCAAATATTTCACCTCGGGCTCCAGGCCAGATACAATGATGACCGGAGAAGCGTTGGATGGCAAGAGCCCCGAGCCTGGACCGATTGCTGAGTTAGCGGCCAGCATGGCAGCGGTACCTGATGGGGACTGTTGAAAGACGTGGTGATTAGTATCTAAACCAGACAGTCCGTCAAGGCCAGTCAGGTGCGGAGTCAGTTGCTGCAGGGCTGCAAGTTGCTGCTGTACTAATGACGTTTCGGCCGTCCCACGAACCGCAGCAGCAGCGACTGATCAGAAACCAGATGAACGTTGGCAAAAATGGAGAATGGAAAAAGCTGCAATTCAAGTGAAATGTAACACAAAATTTAGTCAAGATGTAAAGAAGATCATCGGAGTAAGAATATTTATGATTTGTCGAGTTGAGTTATCCTCAAGTCACATGAAGGTAGGCTATTAGAGAAACCACTTGTCCTAACCTCTCGCTATAGGGTCATTAACGTTTAACCCTCTAAGGAAAGGCATGACTG